AATGTGGCTTCCACTGTTCTGTGTTTTGAAGATCTGCTTCAGGGTTTTGGGCAAACAAGAACCTGTTGAATTCAAAATGCTGCTATCTTTCCAGCTGCTCAGCACTGGCTGAGCTGAACACTGCTGACAGGTAGCTGGGGAGAGAAGTGAGCTGGAGGCAGTAACTGGTCAATCTGAAAAGGGAAGTAGGTAGAATATGCAAAGGCCTTCCATGCAGCTGAAAGAGAATTGTGATACGGTACTTCTGCTTATGTTTGTCTTCTGAGATGTTAAGGGATCTCCTTGCATTAGGCGATAAAGATATTATTCAAGGCGCTTGGAAGTCAGTGGGAGCGTTTGACCAGATGAAATGGCGTGTTGGAAGGGCCTGCACAGGAGCCTCTGATCTTGCTTTCGTACAGGGAGTCAGACTCTGTGACCAGGTGGTCTGCAGGGTGATGATATCTAAGGGGTTGCCTGTTCTGCTACGGCTTCTGGGGAGCATGCAGGATGAGAGCAGTAGGTAAAACCTGGCAGATGAATGCATCCTAACACACTGCCCTACAGCCTGTGAAGAAGAGGCTAAAAGAGAAATTGGTCCCCACCATGAAGAAGAAATTGCACTGTCTTTCTCCTTGTCCTTTCTCTAGAGGAAAGCAACAGAAAATATCTCAGTGATTTTCCAGGGAACACAGCTCTTAAGGTCGCCACAGAAATACCTATAAGGAGTTTTAAGATTGTATAGCAGACTTCTAAAGTTTCATAGTGTCCAGAAATGATGCTGTTTATTCTTGAGTGCCATCTACTGACAATTTCTTTCTTAATGATTTACTTTCATTGACATTGCTTATTTCAAATGCCTTAGGTAACATCTGTTAGCTTAGATGGAGGGGCCTGCAGTTTTGGAGCTGAAGGATTAGGAGTTAATATTTTATTGGGATACCTGGCAGTTTATAATGTTCCTTATTCCTTAAGCACCTCATTCCCCTCTGCAGACCTGGACATTTTACACATTTTCTGTTCTCTTTTCAACCTCCCTTTTCCTTTCACTCATCTCCAGGCTTCCTCCCATCTGCCCTTCCTTCCCTGTCTGCTCCTTCTGCTTAGAGGGCAATTTCTGGTCTCCCCAAGTTCACTCTTCTGACTTCAAAGAGTAGCTCTAGTTGTGCTATTTCCTTGTGCAAGAGGTTGCATCCAATGAGTTTGTTACAGTATTGCTGAGATCTTATTTCCCCCTCTCCTTTCTGTTCTTCCTCTTCTTTCAAGAGCTTTTTCAGCAACTTTTGTGCACTAACCTTGAAAATATTTAACGATCTCTGACTCCACTATATTACCTCTTCGAGAGGTATTTTATTTTAGTTATGTGATACTTGAATTATCATCATTATTACAGTTTTTCATTTTCTATCTGTAAGATTTCCTCCCCCATCAGTCCAATACATTTTGCAAAGATAAAAATAAATTAAAGGTGAAGAGTTATTGCCAAGGACAAGAGCTTGTGAAGTTTAGGCTATAAGGTATTTCTTTCTTCACTGAAAACATAATCTTTATAGATAAAGAAAACGCCAGGTACCTAACTCCATATAAGCAATTGAGAAAATGGGACAAGAGTCTTCTATCTTATACACTTAGGATTTGGTTTGGTTTGCCAGCTAGCCAAAGGAATGAAGAAAATAGTAGTAAAGTCACCTAGTGCATAGCACCAATATGACTGAGGCTTCTTTGACCATACCTTAGATAATACAGTGTGATGGTCAGTAGCACCCAGGTACTCAGCTGACACTCAATTTCAGGCAGAAAATATCAAGCAGTGTAAGTGTAGACATTTGCCCACAACGTACTGATATTGTAGAATGCCTTCCCAGAGGATTTTGCTGAGGTCAAAACTGTAAGTAGGTTTAAAAAGGATTAGACAGATTCATGGTGGGCAGGTGTGATGTTTGCTGTTAAGCATGACAGCCTGGATCTAACATCTGTTACAGAAAGCCCCTGTAGAGCTGATGGCTGTAAAGCTGCAACAGGGAAACTGCTGTTCAGTACTGACCCTGGTTGGTGCTGCCAGTCCCTGCCAGGGGTAGTGGCTACAGTGACCAGGTCTGATTCAAAACAGTGGTCTTCAGTCCAGAGAAAGCCTCTGAATTCCCATGGAAATGGCAGTTTGTCTTAAATGGCTATTCTCCACTAAGAGCTCACAGATCCCCACATCTCCAGTGATAAAACTGTGATTGCCCAGCTGAACTCAGCACCTCAGAAGGCACAGGGTTAGGCTTTGCTGGGCTTACTTCAGTAGAGACAGTTAGACAGTTCTGATGAAGTGAGGGCTGAGGAGTATTTCCGTATTTGTCCCAGGACTTCTAAGTCTGCCTTCTGTATACACACAGATCCAAACTAATGTTTGACTGACTTAGAAATGACTTAGCAGTAACATGTTATGTGTCACTTGCATCCCATTTCTTTTATTTTAATGATTAACAGCTTCCTATGCTGCAATTTAGAATCCAGTCTTTTTCCTCCTTTCTTGAATCAGGCAGTGAAAACTGATCAGTGACAGAGATGATGCTGGTGAAATTGCTGCACAGGGGTTCCTCTCACTGAAGGGCTGACAAGATACCAGCTGGGGAGAAAGCTTAATTGCATGGGTGATCAAAGGAGAACGTATGAAGACAGGGAGACTGTAAGGGGGTGTGCGTAGGAGTATGTTTTAGCAAGAGATTATAGGGGAACATGTGAGTCTGGCACACATGAAATGACGGAAATGAATGCATGAGCTAGTACAAAATAGCACACTAACCAAAGCATCCACGGATCAGCTTCAACCGCTTCTCAGATCTTGCCTAAAAGAACTGTGTTCTATTAGCTGTCATCCTCCAAGCTATATGAACAAAAAAAATGTGAAGATTTGTTCTTTTCAAGTGGCAAAGGAGAAGGAAGGGGGAACCTCATGAGACAACAAAATCCAGGCCAAACTGGAAAAATGATCAAAGCAATGAGCTGGAATGGGAAGAAAGGAAGGATACAGGACATTGATATGGTGTGCTCCCGGGAGTGGAATTGATGTAAAAAAATGAGAACTGAAAAAGCATTGAAGCCACATGTCAGCTCTTCCATGTGCTGTAAAATGCTGTACTGTCAGTGTTTCGGTTCACGGTTTGTATCAGGTTTTCTTTTATTGCTTACTGTCTTCTTTTACACTAAGTTTCACTTACATCACTGGGAGTATTTGAGGAGTAAGATACCTCTAAATATGAAAACAAGCACCATTAAAATGGCTTATACACAGACTTGCATCATTTTTGCCCAAATCCATTATAAACCTTATAACATTCTAAACTGGCATAAACCTCTATGCCAGTGATCTTCAACTGATTTAAGCTGCATCAATATAAATCCAGTTTCAACTGATTTAAGAGAGTCTGGGAAGAAATGCACTGCATTTCACAAACTGATGGGATACTGATTGAAATATTAAAAATTATGCACTCAGTCTTTTCATATTTAGCTGTAGGGTTTTTGAACTTATACCATTTTGCATTTTACAAGCCCTTACAGGGAGTGAAAACAAGTAGTTTTAGAACAGTCAAGTCAACATCCTTTTGCTTCATCAATTGAACGTTCTTGCAACTGCATGAACCTTCAAGCTTTAGTGTTTCATAAAATTCTAAGGACAGAGGAGAAGCATAATATTTCTTCTACTTACCCTACTCTGAACTCCGAGTATTAGTATCTGACTAAACCTTTGTTCTGCAAAAGGCATCTAGCCTTTAGATGAATACACCCTTTTTTTCTAAAAGCAATGAAAGCCCATCACCTAAGAGGCTTATTCCAATAGAAAACCATCCTGTCTCTTGGAACCAAACACCTCATTCCTAATCTGAGATTTTCTGCCTTCACTTCCAACTATCAATTCTTGTTGTATCTTTTTCTGCTCAACTAAATACCTCTGCAGTTCTAAGAAATCCAGTTCAAGTTAATATTCCTTGCATAGACCTACACATCTCAAATGTGGGTGACACTCAAGGTTAGAAGTCCTCATCACAAGTAGCACCATACTTCCCACAGGCAGGAGTGGGAGAAATGTTTCTCAGTCTAGAAGCAAGGGTGGCACTGTTAGGACCTCTACAAACATAGATACAGCAGTATTTTAGCATTTCAGAACTCAAGGAACACTTTACACACATATACATCCTGTAGGTTTCAGGTACATTTGGCCCCACTCCTCAAAATCCTGACCAGCAATTCAGTGGATAAAGGTAAATGCCATCAAACTTTGGCACTTGGCTACTTTCTTTGCTCTTTCTCCCACCTTTCCAACCACCTCCCTCTAGTAAGGGCTGGAGGCATGTGGCTAGGAGGAGGCAGAAAACTGCTCTGTTCTCTGGCAGGAAGAAAAGAGGGATTTTAGAGTATGATTGCTCTCATCTCTTCTCATGTACAAGGTCCATATCTGCAAACTGTACGTGGAAAAATTACCCTCTCCCCCACATTTCTCCCCTCCTCACAGATATAAAAAACAGAAAAAGTGCTACTAGAAGAAAGGAAGGTTGCCCTGACCATTAAGAGACTGGAGATGGTTGAGTCAATTGAGAAGTCTGTCAGATTGCCTGCACGATCCCAGATAGGTCATTTAATCCCTCTGTGCTCAAGTTCCTCACTACAGTAGTTGTTTAACCTACACTGTCTGTTTATGGCCAGCTTGAAGCAGTCTAATGTTTTCGAAGTTTATCTAGTATAACACTGGGAGGGCAAATGCAGTTGTGGTCTTGAATTGATACTGTGTAATGTTAAAAAGAAGACAGAAAAGCGTTGCCTCTCATGGGCTGGCAATGATAAATTATGCAGTCCTCTCCTTCCAGCCTCTCACACATGTGATAGCTACAGTAGAAACTTAATCCAAACACTGCTCAAAAGCTGTCAAGCCAGTCTCAGATTTTGTGCAAGATTTCATGAAAAATAAATTTAACAGTTTCTCCAAGCTGAAAGGCCTCTAACCACGCCTCTAGACTGCTAGCCATAGTACTTACATGCTTTGTGAAATTTGTGTTTCACATCAAGAAGGGTAGATGATGGAGGTACCTGGAAAAGAATACAAAATGCATGCAAATTAATTTTTCTGTCTTGTTCACTCTGGGACCCCTTCTCCCCCCCCTCTAATGAAGAGATGATTCAATTTGGCTGCAAGTTCCTTAGGCAATAATGAAGCAAATCATCAAATTTGCTCTCACATGTTGATACGTTATTAAGGATTGTCCACATTTGGTTTACACATAGCCTAGACCACTTCTGCTTGGCCAATGGAAGGATAAGATTCCAAGGGTCAAGAGGGAAAGCTGCTAGTCCTGCCTGAGGCAGGATCAAACCAGTGGGACAACATGAAGGGAGAGCTTTAAAGTTAGGTTCAAACATGCTGGGGCATGTCCCTTGGAGACATGAAAAGTTTTTTCTGAGGGGCCTGTAGCAAAGGTGGCAGGTTTTGTCCTTTCTGCCTGAAATGAGTTTGCTTCTGCATGTTGTTCATGTGCACTGAAGCAATTCAGGTGTCACAGTGTTAGATGGCAGCCTGGAGGCCTTTTAGGCTCTATTTTGTTATGTATATTGATTTCTCCATACACTTTGTACAAAGTACCTGAGAAACACAGTTAGAATTTACTAGAGGGAAGGACTTAGAAGTACCTTGCACTTACAAGGAAAGGCAATGGAACAGCTCAGGAACCAGCATGTTGAGACTGAGATTGAGGTGGCAAGAGGTAAGAGTCTGGTCTTAACAAGACCATCCATTTGCAGTTGACACTGATTTAATATTCTATATTGTTCATTTAAGCACAGAGACTGAGAAGTAAATTGAACTACATCTTAACTATGGGGATCTGCTTTGGAGACCTCATCGCTGCAGTCAGACAGTAGAATGCAGAAAGCCACCTTCCCTGGAGACTTTAGGCACCTGCACAGCATAGGCTAATACCAGCATGAAGTGGTGGTGACATACAGCAAAACCTTTAGGAGCAGCAGAATTTCTTTGGGTTGGGGTAGAGAAACAGCCATGGCACCATTTTCCCTGTCTGGGCACTCATCACCTGGTTCACCCCATCTCTAGCTTCCCTCAGTCTAACCAGAATGCAGCAGTTTCCTGACAGCCTTCTTGGCAGATAAAGGAATCCAACAGTTTTGCTCTGCAGCAGCTTGTCCATCTCTTCTCACCTAAGGATTTCTATGGGGTTTGCTGGGCAATCCAATACCTGTTTCATTGCATTAGTTAGAACTCATACACTTCAGCATTAATGAACTTACTGAACCTTGCTTGGATCTTGGCATCATCTTTAGCCTGTAGTCTCACTTCTTCCAAATGTGGTTAGTGATTATCTATCTATCTATCTATCTATCTATCTTACTTATTACTGAATTGTGACAATATCCATGAAAAAAAAGAGAAGAACAAATTCTGCTAGCAGAGATCAATCAGCACCTTAACATAGGTTGTTTTGATGAAAACACTGAGTTTCGAGAAATACTGATGTAAGAAAATAAAATTGCTGACTCAAAAGCAACAAATCAGTACAGAAAGAAAAGTTTTGCTCTTATATAATTTGATGCCCCATGCAAATATACGATATACATGCCATTAATGCTTAGGAGTAAACCAACTTGTTTTCAGTCATAATATGAACAGGCAGAGAGCTCAATAGAGGTTTCAATGATCTAAAGCTGTAAAATGATACCTGCGCTAAATGGTATGTAAAGTTCAGAATTTTTTCTCGCTTTTTGAGATTAGATGAGAATTCTTTCTCTTCCACAGTTACAGAGGGTTTTACTGGACATTGGAAAAGTCCTTACTGCAGAAACTGCTGTAAGTGAACCCCTTATTAAACCCTGATTTGTCTCTCTGTTCCACCTGCTAAGTGATGTCAACTCCACCCAAATCAAGGGCTGGGCTTCTTGAAACCAAGGCTGTTCCCTTTCCCGCTTCCCACCATCACCAAGATCTGTGTTGCATCCAAGTTATGTTGGATCCAAGCTGTGTTGCATCCAAGCTCTGTACTGAGCCAGAAAAGGGACATTGCCCTTGGAGTTCCTGATGAAAACTGGATCCCTTTTCTTCCTAGCTCCAGGGAACAATAGAAGAGGCCATCTTATCTTTAACAGTTTAGAAAGGAAACTTTTTATCTGTATTCATGCATTTAAGCCATTCCATGCAACAGCCAGTAGAACAGCACATCTCTGTAGTCTACATGTGCTTTTTCTTGTAATGTGGACTTGAATATGGTAGATAGGGGCTTTTTATGTTTTCAAAACCCCTAAAATTATCTGAAATTCTTTCTCACACCTTCTAATCTCACATCTGTGAGGTCTGGAGTCCTGAATCCATCAGATATGGATGCAAGTGATGTTAGCTGGCAACAATTATACAGCCCACAAGACTGCTGACCGAAATCTGTCACATGTCCTAGCACAGGGCAGGTGTGCAGGGTTTCAGAGCTGGCATTGCAAGCTCAAGGACAGGGATGATCTTCTCCAATGTGATGGAGGATGGTCTGGCTTTCTAAATACAGTATAAACTGCATTTCTGCAGGGCCTGCATCCCTACAGGAGATCTACATCTCACTATGCCAGATTCTGGGAAAGAATAGCCAGGGCGAACCCATGCTCTGGAGAGCTGATCATCTGATTAAGTCAAGAGAAGCTGAAGGACTGTTAAGCTTAGTATGCTTAGAGAGTAGCAATGGCTCAAAACAGAGCCCACAGTCTCCATCTCCTGCACTCCCAAATATGTGTTGACTTCAGGGCAGCACTGCTTTCAATAAGTGCAAAATTTCTAGTCCAGCCCCTTTTAGCAACTGTGCCTTTAAATCCCTCTCCCATTTTTCAACCAGAGGTTTTCAGTGCTTTCTCTCCTCCAAATCCTGCTCTGCCAGCCACAGGATTCATATCACCTACACTTTAGCTATCAAAAAATTAGTATAAGCTCATGCTCTAGGTCTACCTATAGAACCATTCACATGCCTTAGGTCTTTCAAAGTTACAAAGTGTCAGCCAGGATCTGTGCTTACAGTGGCCTGCTGCAGCAGAGCCAGTGAGCGTATGCATGTGGTGTGATGTGACCCATCACACACCACCTCCCCTACCTCCAAAGCTGGCGCTCAAACTGCATGGCGGCAGCTGGAGGGGACTGTGCTCCGCACGACACCTATGAGAGAGGCAGAGCTCATTAGCAAGAGCACTGCTGTGCCTGACTACGTCCAAGCTGCTTTAGGCTAGAGGTGGTTTAAATCCTGCCAGCTCAGGCCCGGGCAGAGCATGTGCTTGGTTGGTTAGTCGCAGTCTGGCAGCTCTGCGTGGCACCACACTGGACGGCCTGCAAGAGCCCAGGGAAGGCCTGGAGCACACACACAGCCAGGAGGGGAGGAAGATATTTGTTTTATTGGCTTAGAGAAGGACTCTTCCACTTGAGACAAACTACACGGATCGCAAGCTGAAGAATGTCACAAATACCTTCCTCTTCAGAATGGGCTATGACATAGAGGAATTGCAGGGTTTTTTCCCAGGCAGAATAAAAAGGCTATAGCCACAAAAGAATGAAATACATTTTTTTATGATCTTGATAATTCTGTGTCCTTTTTTTTAAGGACCTCATAAAACAACCGGTGAAGTTATAGTTTCTAATATTGATCAATGTGAAGATGGATGCTGAGACATCAGCTTACTACTAAGAGTGTCCTCTTGGTAGACCATTAATTATCTTTTGTTCTTTTCATTGTACATCAATACGAGCTAAAGAATTGTAAGGACTGGAACAGCACCTGCTCTTATTACCCTTTGTGCTAACTGAATAAAGCACCCTGGAACATTTCACTTAATTATTAGTCTTACTCTCCTTTTATTCTTCTAAATTATTTCTGAAAGCAATATAACCTTCTTTTTCCTCTATTTCAGCACTTTTCAAATACACAAAGGGAAAACAGAGTGAAAGACCACCCTTAGTTTATTTAAAATAAGACAGATTTAATTGTAAAAACACCTCTTACTTGGCACATATCTTCTGTGTCTGATGGTCAAGCCAGTTTTCCCTCCAACTTTATAACTTGTAGTCTAACACCAGATTTTAAATATAACTTTCCAGTAAGTTGCTTTCATGTGTAAGGTTCAAGACTACTTTTCTTTACAAAAAAATGTTATGAAGAAATGCAGATTTTACAGGTGTGGGTTGCATTCATACACTTTTCATTCAGAAAAGGATGATTTTAGAACCTCAAACCCTCTTTTTCCTGTACCTACATAGCAAAAATAATTTCACTTTTCCATTTGAGTCAACTTTTCATTTTTTAGGAGTTCAAGAATGAAAGAACCTGCTGGGTCATCCATTCCAGTTCTATCCTTCCTTTATGCAGTTATGCACAAAGCACCACATTTCCTTTTAAGATTTAAAACGCTGTATTAGTAACTTAGGCTATGACTCAAGGAAGAGCAGTGAGTGGAAGATATTATGGGAACTTAATACTGCCTTTTGTGAGTGCAAGCTAATCAGATAGTTATCCACTTTCATACCTCTTTCGCATTTATAAGTCAAGGAATTATAACAAATCTGGTGATCTGTATGTAATTGCATCACACAATTCTTGCACTAAAGAATTATTTTAGGGGTTAGAGGTTAGAAGAATATCAATAAGAATTTGAATAATAGAATCTTAGCAAATAAGTGATCTTCCATTCAACATTTCCCTTTGAATATTTTTTCTCTTTGTGACATGTCAGTACCACTGCCTTGCTGAGTCACCTACTTTCCAACAGGCAGTCATTTTCCATAATTGCAAAAATTCAGAAATTCTGCCGCTCCAGCTGCTCATTAACCAGAGAAGGCCCCATCTTCAGCCAAGGTGAATTTGTTCAAAAGGATGACATCATCTTATTGTAGCTGAAGATTTGACCCAATAACAGATGAATAACTAATGAGAAAGCCAGGTAATTTCCAAATTTAGCACTCAACAAATACTTCATCATTACTGCTTTTGCACCCTGTCCTGGCCTTGGGACCACACTGTATTTTTAGAAATCAGCAGCATTCCACAGAAGGTTAATCAGGA